AGAAGTCAAAGCACAAGACACAAAAACACACCATTAAACTTTAATGCAAATGTAAGGTAAGGCAGCAGTAGTTGTAGAGACACACACGTACACAAAGACGAAGACATCTTTTCCCAACAGAGCTTTCCTTTGCTGCAGCTCCTGAGGTTAATTAGGTAGGACGTCGTCTGCATATTTGACTAATCCAAGAGTCTGCATTCCTGCAGCAGCACCTCTCCTCTATTATCTAATCTCAAGTTGCCCACTAATTCTATTTAAACTCTGCTGGCTGGCTTTACGCTGTTACTGAAAACACAGAAAACAATGGCATGGCACCGAAACTGAGTTTGGGAATTTAGAGACGGAACATGGCAAAGCAGAAATTAACAGTTGTGATAAGAAAACAGGTCTCGATAGGAAGTGATTCACCATGATCAAATTGGTTGTTATCCATTGTGTGGTATTTATTGTTCTAAACGGCACAGTCTCTGTGTAGCAATTTAAAGCTGCAGTGGACTCAATAAATTTACTTCATTGACATGTTTTACTGTGCGAATCATGAATATAGATCCAATGTCAAGGACTATATCAAGGGACTATTGTGGGAATATCAACAGTAGTAGAGTACAGTAGTATCTCCAAGCATGATAAGCAGCTATAAACTCACCACTGTATACCACAGACTCATTGTAAGTATCTCTTTGAATTTGAGTGATTCTTTTTGGGGTTTTTTTCAATCTAGATGTTGATAAAACTGGATGCCACCACCTTAATGCAAAATCAGGACTTGAAACTGCATATATTACTAAGTCGGAGGCAGAAGAATTCCAAAAAACACACAATACTGCCTTGCAAAGTTGCTACGGCTGACATACTAGCATATAACTGCCTATTTACACATCCTTAAGAGATCCAGCAACATGTAGAGTTTAGATACATATTTATGTCCATCTGATGAATATATTATAAATCCAATATTCACTCTTTTCAGTTTTAGCTGCAGCTGTTTACTGAGCAAATAAATTGAGTCAAAAGAAGGCTCATGTTTCCATAAGACTTATTTTTGCATCCCACGGAGCTGCCCCCTGCTGGCCATTAGAAATAATGCACGTTTAAGGTTCTTCTGCATTGGCTTCACTTTTCAGACCTGGAAGCTCTGTCCACTGTTTATTATACAGTCTATGGTTCCAGTAAGATAAAAAAAATAAAGATTAGTGGAGCTTTTCTCCAAACCTTTTGTGAAAATCTTGCTAAACCCTGCTTTAATAGTTATTTGAGTCCTACTCCTACAAGTAACCGACCCCACAAAATGCTTTGCTACGTGTTATGGCACCCAGCAGTGACACCCACTGCTGGTGTCACTACAAACACATATGTAAGAGCCAAAAGAAAACACAACACCTTGTTCAGTTCTGGCCGTCACAGCGAGGCTCACGCACACTGCGAACAAGGTTTACACATTCCCTCACAAAGTGGCCACATATATTTGTTTGTGCAGTTTAATTTTTTTTTATATGCGACTCGAGGTATGACTGCTGTGATTATGCATTAATACGGTGTGTTTGTGGGTGTGTGGGAGAGGTGGATTGTGTTTGGGGCTGTGCAGAGTGCCGCTCACATGAAAGACTCTTTGTACAGGAAGTTTTTAATGAATCGGCGTACAGTTTGGTCGTTTGATGGTAACGACATAGGTACATGTGCGTGGGTGTGTGTATGTGTGTGTTCAAGGTCGGGTTTGTGTGGCGAACAGCTATCAGATATAGAAAACAGCTTACGGGAGTGTAGGGAACATTAGCTGTGTTTCCATCCAGGTAGTTTCATGTGATTAATGAGGTATTGAATTAGAAGCAGTGAGTGGAAATGGAACATTTTTGATAAACTTGGATATTGCAATGGCAGCACAACATTTGTTTTAATATGGAATTATTTTGATCAATAAAAATAAATATGTAATAAAAGGCTATAGAAATGCATATGTTGATTAAACAAGCTCACTGGGTGTAGGGCTGGATGTTAATGACTGAACTTCAATGTCTTTTAAATGCCACACCTGCTATCACAAAATTAGTTTAAAAAAAGAAGAGAATTGTTGATAAGAATATTTTACTTATGCACTAATGATGATCAGTACCAATCTCAGGTCTGCGTGTTAAGAGCAGAGCTAGAGCCAGGAGGTGATTATTCAAAATTCTGAAATATTCCTACCAATTAGTTAACGTTAGAGGTGTCAGTGGGTATTTTTTGGTATTTCTTTAGAAAGAGCCAGATGAGCTATTTCCCCCTGTTATCAATTCATCCACTAAGATAAGATAATCCCCTCTAAGAAAGCAAGTGCATATATTTCCCCAAATGACGAACACCTTCTTTCAAAATAAGTAATAAATGGATACATGCAGTCAATAATGAGATAATTCTACTTATTTTCAGTTTCCCTGGCATCAAGTAAGTTCTAATATCTTGACAACAAGACAGGAAACACATTAAATATTTTTATTTTATGTTTTTTCACCAGAGAGAAAGAGATTTTTTGCTTTTTAAGATGCTTTTATGTGTTTATTTCAGCGCCCCAGCTCCAAATTGGTTGATGTTTGTTTGAGTTAAACTTCTGCTGTGCACCAGTACACTTTGGATCTTACTTATGCAGTGCTCTTTGCTGTCTGTCTATCTTAATTTCCCAGAGCAGCAAAAATAGCAGGAAGAACTAATAAACTAATAAAATAATAAAATAACACAGCGCCTGAAGGCAGAGTTCCTCCTAATAATCATGTAGGCTTGATTCACTCAATGACCTCCAGAAAGGTCAGTCCTGTTGTCGGTCTTATGTATGATAATGCCAAGTTTTTAGATTTGCACCAGTATCTCTCAATAAAAGACAAGAGACATTTACTGAGCTGCACTTTTCATTTTTGTGGTGTATGTTTGTGTATGTGGGGAAATGGAATCTGTCCAAATTTACTTGACAGCTGAGTTGAAACTGGCATTAATTTCACTCCTCGTTGTCTCTATTTCTGCCTCACATTTTGGCTTCCTGCATCCTGTTGTCTCATCCTCTGTCAGTCTGCTCTTTTTAACAACCCATCCCGCTGGTTCTATAGGTCAGCGCTGAAAGGGGTCAGCAGAGCAGGCGCGATCAATATGAACACACACACACACACACACTCTCGCAGTGTGTAGAGATCAGCTGACCCAATAGAAACAAGCTTGTGCTGTGTCTCTCTGTCTGTGGTCTACTGCCCTCTGACCTCTGTGTGTAACATACTGCAGTATTAACGTGCATGTGTGTGTGTATGTACTCTTTTCTGTTTTGTTTCTCTTGTTAAAAAGATGTGTTCACTTATTAGTACATTTGTTCTAATGTACTGTTCTGTTCAGCTATTGGACTTATCTAGATTTAAGGCCACCTGGTTGTGGTTGTTTTTTTTCATAGCCATCGTTTAGTTCAGCAGTAAAATGTTCTGCATCCTTCACAACAACCGACTTGGTATTGATCAATGAACACTGTGTCTGTGTGCAGCCAGCCCTTAATACCACTTTTAATTCAGGGTTATTTGTGTGTTAGTGTGCACGCGCCCGTCGTGTAAAAGCCACTGACCTTGATCATTGTGTTGATGTCTGTCAAACTCGCTGAATGTTCTGCTGCCTCCACAGCGCTCAACGGTTTGCCCGGCAGCTTCGGCTCCACTCACTGAAAAGGGAAAATTAAACTTAAGACACAGAATCTGTCAAGGGAAGGGAAAATAGAAGGCAAAGGGCGCTGCTTTCATTACAATACATTTAATAGAAATCATTGTTTTATACTATACAACAAATACAGGCCATAAAATAAAAAGAATATATAATAAAAATCATAAAATATTGATGCATTCACTCAATTATTGGGAGAGCCAACATGAGGGTTGTGTCCAGATACATATTTATGGCAATTATATGCATCAGTTTATGGCCTGAAACAGAAATAAACAGAAATATGTGAACATATTTCAAAACCTAGTGTTGTCTCACTTCATACTAGTAAACCTACTTCATGTCTCGATGTCAGAAGCTACTGTATCGAGTCTTCTTTAATTTATATATTTAAAAAAAGGTAATCTAGTCGCTTCTAGAAGTTACTTGATTCAGCTTTTCGGCACCGCGGAGCTGCTCAAAACTGGAATTCAACTAATTAGTACTTCTTTCTGACGCGCTTGGAGGAGTTCATGTGAAAAAGAGAGGTCATATAATTATAGCCCTGGGAAAACCCTGGGCTCTATTTGTGTAATAGTGAGTGGATGTCTGTTTCTGTGTGTGTATATGTGCATAGCTGGCTTTCCTTATGAGAGTCTGTTTAGTGTGGTTTTATTTGCATGCTCAGCCTTTTGCAAGTACAAGAGTCAACCTCAGTCACTTTCCTTATTTGCCAATATGATGAAATAGGACTTAAACTCTGCTGGCTGTAGCCCCCAAATGAGAAACTATACTTCTCGCCTCAGGAACCAAATACATAAAAGTAAAATTCTTTTGTGCGAAGAAAGAAAACCCAATACTTTTTAATGAGAAAAAGAACAAACAAACAAACAAACAAGAAGAAATGAAGCAATTCTGGCCTCCTTCATCTTCTTGAAAGAGCTCTAAATCTCTTTTTTTATACAAGTTGTAGCTCCTCCTACTACAGGAAACGCCACAATTATTAAATCAGTTAACTCACAGCAAGTACTCATCTGTTTCTCAGTAGATAAATAGCAATTTAACACTGAACAAACATCACTAAACAGTTGAAAGAGCTGTATCTCTGCAAAAAAAAAAAACAAAGCTGCTAAAATGTTCAAGCCTGTGTCGTGTTTTCTGTCTAAGAAACAGTCCAAAATATGTGTGACAATGAGCTACCAATCTCTCAAAAACAACACGTCAACACTACTGTCAACCAGCACTTTACCAAGACAACACTTCAATAGAGAGATGATATAAAAGTGGTTGCCAAGTGGAGTGTGTGTGTGTATCTCACTTTGAGGATTAATTCTTATGTATCTCTGTTTTCTCTCCAGCATGTGGAAGGGCCTGAATGTCAACTGCACAGACAGCACAGGATACACGCCTTTACATCATGCTTCACTAAATGGACACAGGTAAGACTTCTTCAATTATTAATAAATCCAAGTGCTGTACAGTTCAATACAGAAGCATTTGAAGAGGGGTGTGTTTACGTTTATATGTTTTGTAAAGTCTGTCAAATGTGTGAGATGGAAGCCATCAAATTATTGGTATTTTTATTCAATAGTCACCAAAATGAATGTAATTTTCTGTCAATCCACTGATTGATTGATTGACTTTTTTTTCAGTACTAATATGTTAGAGTGCTGAAATGTCATGTATGTGAAAAAAATTATGTAGTTAGAGGGAAAAAGTCAGAAAATGCATTTTTCCTTTGATTGTTTTCTTATTTCTGCTGTCAAGTGAAGACATAATGTATTTAATAATTTAGTAATTGTTTTATTCTTCTCAGGTTGTAGTATATGTGCTTTGTGCTATAGGTGAATGTTGTGTGCAGGATCATACCTATTAATATTATATTCCATTTCTGCCAATAGATCCTTTTGAATGTTACACACTGGACCTTTTAATATTAAATTTTGGGCAGGTCTCTTTTGACTTTTCTGAATAAACATGCAATAAATGATTTATTTGACCATTTGGGGGCAGCAGAAACCAGCTGTAAACACAACATTGACGGATTATAATCACTTTTTAAGTTTTAAGCAAACAGCAGCGACATTAGCATTAATTTGGAGTCATATTTCTGCACAAATGGCGAATGTAAGTCCAAAATTCACTCTTTTTTACTATAACTGCTAGCTCTTGTTTTGCTCTGTAAGTTACTGCTCCTGAGGAAAGTAGCCTATCTGTAGTGTTAGACCAGTCTTAAACTGGCTCTTACACCAGTTTAAAGAAAGTTAGACGGTTTCATAAAAGTAAACACAGACTTATTTTAAGCCTAGAAGCTAACTGAGTACACCTGCTAATTAGCGTTTCCATGGTAACAATCAGTGACACCTGCTGATCAGCGCCAACGAATGACCGAAAAAAAAAAAAAAAGTGGTGTATTATTTGTGTTTTAATAACATTGTGGCGTGAATAAGGAAATAGACAATAGCTTTTAGAGACTGCAGTAACATGGAGGAAATACACATCAGTGAAGAGGTTGTCAGTCGTTTCGTCTTTGTAAGTACTGAGCCCTGCTTCAATAACAGCATGTCAGCTCTGCTACAGGGCTGAAATTCATTTTGTGCTACCGGTAGTTCTTGTATTGTTACACTCCAAACTGAATTTCCCCAGTAAAAGGTCCTTGTAACTCTGGGATTCTTCCAGAACAGTTTCTGCTGGAGTGAAGACAGCTGAGCGGTTTTGGTTTTTGACATGGTTGCTCAGTCAACCATGTTTTTTTTGGGGGGGTTATATGAAAGGGGGAATTCTTAATTTAACCAAAAATTCATGGAAAATTGCTCCTCTACTCATGACAGCTTGTGCAAGGGATAAGTGTAGACATCTTTATTTAGTCTTTAGTCTGACTTGTAGATATTAGTATATTGATGTAACCTTATATATTTCTATGTGAGACCTGCCCCTGGTAATAAGTAGGTTCATCCCTACAGTACTAGCAGTCCCCATGTTCATACGTTATTATAGAAGTATTGATTATAGCCAATTAAAATATAAATATAAATAAATGCAGAACATAAAAGGTAAGAGTTAATCTTATGAGGTTTCATTAGATGAAGGTTAACAGAATTTAGAGAACAAATGTAATCTTTATATTAAGTTAAATGATGACAACCAATCATCGTAGCATTACAGCAGTCCTGTGTTGTTCTGAGTGTCATGACATGCCGGTACTCTTGGGCAATGGGTCGAAATTGCAAACACACTATTTCTGCAGAAGTTTAAATGCGTGCATGCTCTGTGTCTGTATCTGCACAGAGCTACTGTGCAGCTTCCTTTCTTCACCTGGGCCTGCTGAGAAATCCGTTACACAGTGTGGATTAGCTGCAAGCCTGACCGCTATCCCAGCTTGGCGGAACTGAAGGATTAGTACTGTGTTTTGGGGGCAATTATGTGGATTTCCTACTTCAGATCAACTCAAGAGGAGAGGAGGGAGGGAGGGAGGGAGGGAGGGAGAGAAAAATGCAGCCTCACAGTGAAAATTAGGCCGCCAACAAAAAGCTGCAGAGGAGTGATTTAACGTTTAGGTGGGAAAGTAAAAAGAGAACTGGCAATTAAGACATAGACTTGGCAGCAGGCAGTGCTGCATTCAGAGATTTGTTATTCAAGCTGGGTTTGAATTGTTGTTTGAGATCTTTTTAATCATTTTTTACCACATAAAACTTTTGGGGCAAGAAGTTTAATATTTTTATATGTGACCCCCAGATCCCGTCAGTGTGGTTTTGCTATATAACTTCCACTTAAAGTGAGTCAATTATATAAAAATTGAATAACTCATTAATTAACAAAGCAGTTCATTAAGCATCTCAGCGCTGCTTTCACCTCTGGTCCCAGGAGAGGTTTTGCCCTTCTCTCTCCTCTTTTTCTCCCCCTGACATTTCAAATGCAAATGAAGCCCTTCACCTTTCCTCTACAGAGAGATAGGTGACAACTTCAGCTGAAGACTTCCTAATATGAAACAGCCCTGCTGACATTACTACTGAGCAGCAGCTAAGTGGATTTCCAGAACAAGCACAGGCACAATGATTTGTCACTTTATCTATTTGTGTAAGGGAGATTACTTTATTAGAGGGAAACATGAGAGCATTTGTCTGTCCTCAATTTGTGATCGTTTCCAGCTGAACTCCCTGCTATCACTGCCTCCTGGACTGGGCTGTATACTGATCCTTCACTCATAGTAACACCATACATCCCTCCATGACCTATAAGCCTGTGGTTTACACTAGGTACTTTAAGTAGGCTCCAGCTTGATACTGAGCAGAACCTGTGGTTATAGATCTATGCTGTCATTGAAGGAGGAAACAAAAGTAGATAGAACACCTGATTTAAATACATTTATTCAGTCCAATTCAGTCCCACGTGTACATGTTGATGTACATAAACCTGTGTTTTTGAGTATCAAACAGGGCCAACTCACTTCAGGCAGCGTTAGGGAAAACAAAACAAGCCATGATTTTTGCAATGTTATGCATGCAGATGTGAAGGGCAACATTTCCAAGTTTATTCTGTCTTATCCTGTCCTTATGTTTCATTAAAAATAGAACTGCATGGTGTATCCCTTATCTTCTTGAGGATAGTTATAGTTAAACAAAAGGTTCAGTTGAAATAAGGAGGAGTTGCAGTAAAGATGGTGGTGTTGTATGACATAATAACTTTAACGGTAGGTACGGGAAAAAACATCCTGTGTAGGTTATTCAAGCTAATTTTGGCTCTAGCATATGTGATGCTGATTAACACATGATAACACAGTTATTGAGTGTTAAGACCTGTTGAAATCCTGTTGACTGGTAATTATTGAATTTATTAAACCTGTTAAAGCGTCACCAAGGTCACAGAATATGAGTGCCTGTCAAGAGAAAAGGCAGCAATCATTTTCATTATGTAGATTCCTTCTTGGATATATGAAATATTCAGTAAAATTATACATTTATTGTTATTTGCAAAGTGATTTATTATGTTTTTTTTGTGAAATGTGACAGTATTCTGTGATATGGATTTTAGGTCTTAGTGCCCAGCTCTCCTCCTCCTCCCTCTCTCCATCCCTCCATCTTCCGATCTGACGATATATTGATCTGTATGTGTGTGTGTGTGTCTTTCTCAGGGAAGTGGTACTAAAGCTGTTGCAGTTTGAGGCGTCCACAAACATCGCTGACAGCAAGGGTTGCTTCCCGCTGCACCTGGCCGCCTGGCGGGGAGATGTGGACATCGTCCGCATCCTCATGCACCACGGACCCTCTCACTGCCGTGTAAACCAACAGGTAAACGCCACAATCCCACCATCATCCTCTTAAAAAAACCTTCATCTTGAACACCACGTCTTATGAGCGCTATACTGTATTTTATTAGAATTGCATGATGTGTTTCTTCAGTCCAAGATAATGCCATAATCTCCATTCTGAAGTGGTCTTGAGGTGGTCTTAAGGTGGTCTTAGGACACAGAACTCAAGACACGCAAAGAGCAGGGAGGCCTAATGGTTGAGGAGGCTATCAGTTAACCACAGAACCTTAATGCCGAATGCTCGTAAAAGTTCACCCCGCTCAAGTGTTCTTTAGCTAGACACAGTATGCGTTGGTCTGAGGTACCTTGTGGCACAAAAAACACAGCCAAAAGATGCCTAAAGAATGAACATTTGGAGCTTATGATCATGCAGCTCCTTTCTCTTGACATACTAAATAGCTACCTCAAGGTCTTCATGGGTCCACTCAGTTCTGAGGAACCAAGAACCAACACAGGTGCTTAATAAGTTTCTATGACTTTATTTGTTCATAGGACATGAGCAATATTGCTGCTGTAGTCGATTGTGGCTGCTTGTTAATTGATAGCGCTTCATGCTTGATAGCGCATAATGCTGCTGCCAGTGTTGTTGTTCTCCATCTATCGGGGTCTGTTCGGGTCTACCGCATTCTGTAGCAGTGCTAATTATCCTTTGGTCTGTTTGGATCTGGTTGTGCTCAGGTCCCTTTTGTATTGGGTGTGTCTGTTTTAAAAAAAATTATTAATGCATGTCAGGTTCAGCTAGCTTTACCACAGATTTGTGTCTGATCATGAGGATCGCTCGTCGGTGGGCTTCTGCTGCTGGCCCTGACCTCTAATGTATCACTGGGAGAGGACTCAGCAGAGTATCACTACATTTTTTGTTTGGACTTGTAGGTAGCCATTTCACAAGTTGTGTGTTGCTACCTTCCATAAAAGAAATGATACATGAATCTAACCTTCTTTCGTGTTTTTCGGGACCCCTGAGCCCCCACTTACATGTGAAATGATTAATTGTGGCTGAAAGAAACACTCTCCCTGTGTGCTGTCACTCTTTCAGAACAAGAAAGGTCTTATCAGCTAAATTAAAGTTGAGGTCTTCTGTTGTATTTCTTGGGGCATTTTCAAACCAGCGCTGCCACAGGTCGTCTATCTAACAGAGCCGATCTTTTACAGTTCCCAGTGATCTCTCTCTGACAGCCGGGTGAGAGTTTCAGCTCTGGGAGCATTCAGCCTGCCGCTGCTGTCATTCCTCATCAGCAAAAATGACCTTCTTCTCCTCCCTCACTATTTCTCTGTCCATCTCCGCTTGCAGCGTATTGGTGATGTCACGGCTCGCTGATGCTCCGCATTTTGAGATGAGTACAAGGCACACGGGAAGTGGTGTTAACTCAGAAGTGCTGGCTAAAATGTTAATGGCTAAGATGTCTGTTTTAATATTCCTATTCCTGATGGCGGCGTAGTAATGGACCCCCAGCTTATTGGAGCGTTATTTACTCTGCCTAATAAGCACATTTTCCTCTGTCACCATTAGCCAAATCGTTTCCCTCTGAGAGTTGTTAGAGCCTAATTGTTTGTTGTGATAAATGGTGTCCCTTGCCCCTGAAATGAAGAGGTTTGTCAGCAAGTGAACATGGGTAATTTTCTTTTTTTTTTTTACCCCGTCAATGATTTGTAGAGCTGAGCAGGCTGCTGTGCAGGCAGCGTGGACACACACAGGGTGGAAGATGCTGATTGAGAAGGTACTGAAGATTGATGCTGACTTCAGTACACAGTCAATGTGTGTTAATGTGTGTGTGCACTGGTGTTTTGCTTGAGGGACATATGAACATCTCTGGTGACATGCTTTTAGACTTTTTCAGTTTGTGGTACACTATGCAAAACATTCCAGTTATTCTAGTGATGAAGTGTAGTTGGTCTTCGGGTGTATCTGTTTTTTCTTGTTCCATTTTGTTTAATGATTTTTCTATAATATCTTTCAGGAAACCCTTATGCTGTTTGTGTAAGAGGCAAGACTTTATAGCTGAAAGGCATCATTTTAACAATGGAGACGGATTAATGCTGTTGTGTATTTAGTATTTGGTGTGCACATAAAACCTCAGCAACGATGCTGTGCGCTCCATGCTGCCAACATATGCCAAAATGGATTTCTGGTGGCTTTACAATGACACTGTTGCTGTTCTCCAGTGTTTTAGGGAACATTTTCTTCATACTACAGCATGCAGTGGTGATGTTTTAAGCTAGTGTGTTTTAAATAATGTATAAATGGATTGTTTAAACATGTACTGTGTAGGTAAGGATTTATAAAGCATATTTCAAACACAAAAGCAATTCAAAGTGTTTTACATAGGCAAATAAAACATTAGAATCAGAACAATAAGCAATAAAAGCCATTGCTTATTGGGTATAGTAGTGTGGACAAGAATTTTGACAGCTGTATTTATGCCAGGTTTAGTATCTTGCCAAGTTTAGCAGGTCTGCAAATTATTACTGAATTGTTCATTTCTCTTCTTTGTTACTTTTTTCTTCTTTTTTTTCAATTGTTTCCTGCATTTCTTTAGTTCCTTCTCTCCTTTTTTTAAGAGGTAGTTGTTGTTGTTGTTGTTGTTGTTCATCCTGAAACCAAAGACGAGGTATATCTACAATTACAGTTACTGTTTCTGACTTTTTCTAAAGTCTAGTCTTAACTTGGTGACAATCTAAATTTGCTTCAGTGTCTATATTTTCTTTCTTTACTAATAATACAATTTCTCTGAATTTATCGTAGTTAACGGAGGATCAATGAAAAATACAGAGATATCTATGAATACTTGTTTAATTATTGTAAAACACTGAATGATTTCTTTAAATAGGTCTGTCCTAGCAGTAAGCACATTTCTAAAGCAGTTCCCTCCGTCTATTAGCTATACCTGCTTATCCTTCAGGGTCGAGGTGGGCTGGAGCCAATCCCAGCTGACATTGGGCGAGAGGCGGGGTACACCCTGGAGAGGTCGCCAGTCAATCACAGGGCTGACACATAGAGACATACAACCATTCACGCTCACATTCACACCTAAGAGCAGTTTAGAGTCTGCAGTTAATGTTTTTGGACTGTGGGAGGAAACTGGAGCCATGAGGAAGGACTGGAGGAAATTCACGCAGGCACAGGGAAAGCATACAAACTCCACACAGAACGACTGGTAGAAACAAACCCAGAACCCCCTTGGTGTGACAGTGCTAACCACTGTGGCACCAAAAACATGTTATTTTTGAAATACAGTATACATTGATCTGTCTAAAAGGTGTATGCAGTCTGGGGATAGAACATAATAATAATTTATTATGACAGAACATTCATGTGCATCTGTGAAATGAAAAGAACCTTTTTTTTTCACAAATTCTCATATAACATCTCACTTGTTATATCATCTAATTACACTGATCAGCTTGTCTTGTATCTCTATCATGCGTCTCAGTTTATCAACAGGCTGGAAATGACAGGTTTTATCTACCATGTTATCATCAGGTTGTATCTCTATTTCTGTATAATAAACACCGGTGAAAATCCGAAGCTACAGAGCTCACATTACCAAACCTTGACTGTCTGTCACACTGTTGCATACAAACACAGCAACGCAGACTGAAGCATGGCTGCGCTTTGTCATTCTTAAAGTTTATTTTTGCCTTAAGTGCTGAATTTAGCTAAATATGGGTTTAGCTCCAAGTTTAAATTACGGTACCTGCATTTTACAGTGCTGTTATTATGCATATTTGTACAGTCTTGCAGTTATGCATTCTCAGTATGAGGGTACAGTTGTCCTCAGGTTGCAAGCATAAATCTCTAAGATTTATGTAGTGTTTGCGTGTTTACGATGCCTAAGCGCCATATTTTCCCCCTGTCTGTCTTGTCTGCAGTAGAGAGCAGGGCCTGCATACATTAGTCAGGGTGATATACTGAGTCCCACACGTGCTCACACCCATCATTCAGACTTACAGCAGCAAGCCATTGGCTGCACATTACCCCATTCTCAATGATATTACTCTGCCCACGCACACTATTCCTCGTGTCAGAGGTTGAGTGTGAGTGTGTGTGTGTGTGTATCTGTGTGTGCAGCTTAGGTTTATAGAGTGACTCCACAGCAGCATATGCTTTCTCAATATCTGCTCTTTTCTTACATGAGAGAGGGAAATGTAACATTTGTGCTCACCTTTGTACAGGAGGTGACAAATGGTAGCATGAGAGTGTGGCAAAGGACACAGGAGGGAGCTGTAATGAGTGTGAAAGGTCTTGGAGAGCATTAAGAAATTGACAGAGAGAGAGGTAGCGGAAGTGTGTAGGTGGGCCAGTTCCACGCTGCAGCCAATAGAGGATTATTCAAGGTTAGTGGAAGTTATTAGTTGGCGGTAAACCAGTTCCAGCCCACTGTTTACTGCCTAATTGGTCCCTGTAGTTCCCATTCACAGCTGTTTTTGTTTATTGTGGTAGCATTTGTGTGTATGAGAGAGGCGGAGGCCATCTGACTGGTGAAGATGATTATACATAGTGTGTGTGCATGTTTATGTGTGTGTTTGAATGTGTGTGAGACAGTGATGGATGGTGAAAGATAGCTTGTTTACTTGAGGCTTGCACTCTGCTCGCAGGGCCAAATGCATGTCTTGAAGAATGAGGCGTTGTTTGTTGTGATCTCTCTTTCTCCCGCTCAGATTGACTCATGAACTGATGCTTCACTTTAGGTCTGTAACTATGAATAACAATGGGGTGGCCTGTTAGCTTCAGTAGTCTATTTTTGTGTGTGTGTGTGTGTGTGTGTGTGTGTGTGTGTGTGTGTGTGTGTGTGTGTGCATATTTTAGCCTTTAGAGGGGAGCAGATACACCTGGACTTGACTCTCAAATAAAAAGGAAGAAGCTTGACCCTTGACTTGTGTTTGTAGACAGCTGGTGATAGATCATCGTATCTCTTTAAAGGATCCTAGAGTCCCACTGGGTCTGTTACCTGTCTTGATCTGAAAATGATGAGAGAGATG